CCCCCACTCCTCCCTTCCTTCTGTTCTCTCTAAAAATCAATGGACAAATATCCTTGGGTGAGGATTTTAAAAAAAAGAAATAGTGTTTTACTGATCACGGTATCCAAATAGCACTTGTAAGTAAAGTGAAGTAATTTAATGGCAGTTATTTTCCCCTAGAAGAACGATTTTATACTATAATTTGAGGTAAATTGATAAATTGGACTGCAAAGTTAGAAGAAAGCACAACAAAGGAAGTCTTAATTGTTTAAACCTTGGTATAAAAACATTTTACATTGGATTTTCCTCACTGATGTCAAGACTGAAATTAGCCCAGATGGGCGTGGCTCAGCGGTTGGGCATCGACCTAGGATCCAGGAAATTGAGGTTGAATTCCAGGTCAGGGCATATGCCCGGGTTGTGGGCTTGATCCCCAGTCGGGGGCATGCAGGAGGCAGTCGATCAATGACTCTCTCATCATTGATGTTTCTATCTCTCTCTCCCTCTCCCTTTCTCTCTCTGAAATCAATAAAGATATATTTAAAAAAAATTAATTTCAAACTCAGTAGGAATCACATATTGTGTCTGAATGATATTATTAAAATGAGTAGAGTCAGGGTTATCAACTGTACTATCTGTCATACACTCACAGTTTTGGTTAAAAAGGAAAAGATCTTGCCAGGCTGGGCCCAGAGGCCAAAACTAGCAACTGAATTCAGTAAAGATATAAATATGACATCCTGAACTGGAATTAGAAATATTGACAGCATATATATGGCACTGGTTGGAGGACATGAGGCTTAATAGTGGCTTACAATGAAAAGATGAAGGGTTTAAGTTTGCTGCAATGCCAGCGTCAGTGTCGACCTGAGAGCCCTGAAGCTTCCATACAAATGCCGAATGGTCTGTGGATCAGACATGAGAGACGGGGCCTGGGTAACGTAACTGTGTTATTTTCACCATCTCTGGACCATGTTTGAAAAAGGCCAAGAGCAAACTAACGCATCCTGAGAAGAGAACCAGCATGGGAAGGGGTCAGTCAGTACTCCTGTGAGGAATAGTAAAGGACTAAGGAGTTTTAGGTGGGAAAAAAAAGATCTAGGGGGATTAATAAATGTTATTTTAATGATTATCCCCTGGGAGAGGGTTCCAGAGAGCAGAGCCAGAGCAGTCAGTGGAAGACATACACAGAAGACTGAGCTGAAAGTAGAGGACACCTGCTCTTTGTTCCTGCTCAAGGGGGGCCCTGTCGCTCACGGGAGGTGTTCGAGCCAGCGTGTCACAGAAGGAAATCTCACACTGGGTGGGAGATGGGACTCAGTGTCCTTCAAGTTTCCTTCTAAGTGTAGAACTGTGACGCAATAACATGCAGGTGGCAGTGGCCCAGAATGAGTGGGCAGCCCCAGTGAGCCCAGTTTAGAATGGGTTAATGAGTACAGACAGGCTGGAGGCAGAAACGGTGTGACCCTTAGCCTGACCCACTCCTAGGGTCATTTTCTATTTTAAAGGGCCAGCACTTTAGGAATTCAGCTATTTCCCGCCAGACCCAAATCCTCCCAGTCGGGAAACCAGGGGGCATCTGCATCAGCTTTAGCATCGATTCTCCAGAGGGGCTCAGTATCATGCATATGGACTGGCCGAGGGACAATCTGCAGGGTGTCATTGGGGGCATCTCTGGGCCCTTACAGACACATCTCCTGTCACCACTGTCAAAGCCACAGGAGATGGCTACAGAATCCAGTAAACCTTTTGCTTGTGACAGCGCGGGCCCGTCAGTGAGGTGCGGGTGCCGCAGGCCATGGCCCCGTGGCCCAGCTGACCTATAACCCTGGTCCCAGGAGTGCAGCTTAGAAGCTCAGTGGGGACAGGATATCTGTTATTGGCTGTGCTGCGTCCCTTCCCAGTGACTCGGGTGACTGTTCATCTCTCCCTCAGCTCCTGTGAATCTTCCCGCCCAGCACCAGAATGATTTGGCTGGTAAAGTAGCTGGGAAAACATCTGGCCCAGGGAGAAGGGAACTCAGGAGCTACCTTGCTGCCAGACGCCAGAGCGTAGCCTCCGCCCACCAGAATGACGATCTCCCAGGGCATGGTCTTCTGGAAGTCCTTCCACGTGATGATGGGCTCCATCCTCAGCGAGGGCTCCCGGTCGTCCCCTGGATCACAGGGAGACAGGGAGTCGGAGCCGATGAACCGTGCTGGGTGTGATTTGTGGGGAGGGGGCCCAGGGGGAGCCCGAGGGCTTGGGGGGCTGCTCTGCTGTGTCTGCGCCGAATGAGAGGCCCTGGGTCAGGCTCCTCCTGCGAGTCTCACTCGGGTATTACTTGGCTGGAGCCAGCCCCATCGCCTCCCCGTGGCCTCTCTCACCGTCCTGTTTCCCAAAGCAAGGCTTCTTCGCGGGAATGAGGAAGAGGAGGAAGCCGAGGAAGACGGAGACCGTGGCGTCGGTGCGGTAGCCTTTCCTGCCAAAGAGACAAGCAAGCTGGAGGGGACGGTCTGGAGGCCCCGGGCAGCACCGTGTCTCAGGACGGGCTGCCTGTCCTGTTTGTAGGACAGTCCAGAGGGGACAGTACCCCTCCTCCTTGCCAGTTTTGCTGGCCGTGCAGCGGTGGATGTAATGGGCAGTGGTGAACGTCTAGAAGTGGGGCCTGGCCAGGGTAGGTGACTTAGAATTTATGGGCCAAGTCCTAGAAGGAGTGATGAGAAGTCGCTCAGATGAAGGAGACCAGACGAGGTTGGGTCCCCTATCCTGCGAGGGTCACCCCTCCACTTGTGTCTTGTCAAATGAGAACCCGTGTTGGGAGAGCTTGAGGCCTGTGGCCCTGGCCCTCAGGGGAAGACGCAGGGCTGGGACAGGAGCCTATGTCTGCCTTTCCCTCCACAGTTGGTATCTTACTTTATGGACATTTTCCCCTTTAACACTCAACACCCTATGAGACAGCTGAGGTTCCAAGGGCTGGAGTAACAAGGCCAAGTTCCCACAGCTGGGTAAGTGACTCAGCCTCCACAGACCCTCCTCCCGACTGCAGCTGCAGCTGTCCTCAGAGGGGCTTTCCCGGGGACAGAGCGCCCTCCTGGCTTCACGTCCCTGTGTCCCGGGAGCCTAGGAGGGGCGCCGGGGAAACTGCCAGAAGAGGGTATGTGAGGGGTTGATCTTAAGGAGGGGGCCACACCACTTACTTTTCAAAGAAAGAATCCCAGCCGGGAACGAAGCCAGGCTCCCGGGTGAACCACAGCACGGTCATCAGGATGAAGAAGAAACCGGTCACCATTTCGGGGTAGCTGTGAAATGAAACGGGGGGCCTGCTCAGGAATGGGGAGCTGCGGGAGCCCTGCCACTCGCTCCACGATGCTCCCGCGTTCAGAGCTGGAGGCAGAAGCACGGTTAGTGCTTAACCACCCCGCACGCTGGGGCGAGGCTGCGAGGAGCCCAGGGAATGTTAACCGTGTTGACTAGTTCACTAGCTTCAGGCGGGGAGGGAAAGAACCCAGCATCGCCCATTTACCAGATAACTTAAAACACAGCCTGAGACACTGCTGGTCGGAGCAGGAATCGCCACGACCTTTTTGAGGCGATCTGACCATATCTCAGGAGCCTTCGATTCGGTCATTCCTTTTAGCTAAGAAAATAACCAGAAGTGCACATCGAAGCATTACCTACTAAAGACATTAAAAAAGGGAAACAACCTGCTTATGCAGTGATGCTCCATGGCCTTGAATATACAGTTCAGCTTAACTGTTTGTTAAACTGAGATGCGTCTAATAGTGGTGTTTCCACAGCAGAGTCACTGACCTGGGGACATAATGACCGTCTAATGCTAAATGAAAAAAGACAAGATATAGCACTGTTTAGTATGGACTGGGTTTTACCAAAAATACATAGGACTTTGCTCAAAAAAGGCAGGGAAGGAACAGTCAGTCATGTGAACAGTTGACAGCAGCAGGATGCAGGGAATACAAGTCAGTGTTAACTTTTTCTTTGTACTTCCCTATATTTTCTAAGCGCTCTATAGTGAACATGTATTCCTTTCAGAAATCAAGGTTTTTAAAAATACAGCTTACATCTGAATCCTCTCACCCGAAGTTGTACATGCCAGTTGCCATAAAAGGAGAAACAGTGCGGAACACGATGTCGGGTGGCTGTGGGAAAGCTGATAGAAATGGCTCCAAAGGAGCTAAAATGTGAAATAAGGAAATAAAAATGAAATGGCTGAGGGCAGGCGAGTGAATTCTCAGACCCCCTGTCTTCAAGTCTGTATTTAATGCTGCCTGATGCTCTCTAAATACAGGACGAAGCCCCAGCTCCTTGGGAGTGGGCACTGGGCCCGCGGTGGCCCTTTCTGAGCAATGCGAGGAGTCCTGACTTTAGAGAATTCAGCCAAGAGGGTGGCTGTGCTGTCTAGCGCCGTTCTTTGTCCCCTGGCTGCCCCACCTACGACATGCCCATGTCCTGGCGACACCTTAATCTGGGCCTATAGTGAAGGGAAGGGTGGCCGCCTGGAATCCGAGCCAGCTAGACTCTGGCAGTGAGTAGCATCTCTAAATGTCGGGGTTCACGGTTATGAGAACCTCCCCGGTTCAAGGGAACATCAGGAACAAGGCTGCTCTGGGCTCCCTCCCCGGCTATACTTTCCCTCCTGGAGAAGGAGAATCGCTGATTCTTAAAAAAAAAAAAAAAATCTTTATTGATTTCAGAGAGAAAAGCAGAGGGAGAGAGAGAGAGAAACATTAATGATGAGAGAGTCATTGATCGGCTGCCTCCTGCCTGCCCCCTGCTGGGGATCGAGCCCACAACCCGGTCATGTGCCCTGACCGGGAATCGAACCTCGATCTCCTGGATCCTAGGGCAATGCTCAACTGCTGAGCCACACCAGCTGGACTGAATGGCTGACTCTTACCTGATGGCTCCCAGCTTTTCATACTCCTCTCGGATCCTCTTCTCTGAAACTTCTTCCCTTTTGGTCTTATTCTTCTTGCTCAGAGAGCAGGTCTCTTTAAAACTGAGAAGGAAGAATGACAGCTGAGGCCCGCAGGAGGGCAAGTACTGGGCATGTCCTAAACTACCGGCCGGCTCGGCCCACTCTCCTCCCCACCCACACGCCCAGCCCACCAGCCTCCCCGGGCATACAACTCTCGTTTGCCAAGGTACACAGCCTCTCGCCAGCCTTCTGCCCTAGCCTTTGGGTCATCCATGTGGAATTTAATCAATGTGAAGTGCTGTCTGATGGACTTACGCAGGTGTATTTATGGGATGTTTCTACATGTTTGTCTTTTGCATAATTGAGGATGTGATGTGGCACATGTATGCAGATGTTTGTATACTTGTGTGTGTGCGTATCTGCCTAGGGACAAGACTCGTCCGGGGTGAAAGTGAATGTTGCTTTTCTGTTTGCAATGCTGGAGGTATAGAAGTAGTCGGCTGTCACTGATTTGACAACAGTCTCTGAGTAATGACGTAAATCGGCTCAGAGAGCATTCCCTGGCCAATGGGAGCATTGGATTCCATGGGCTAATAGCAAAACTCCACATATATCTTCCCTTTGTGTGCTTGAAGCTGGTCACAGGTGGAGCAGACTACAGGTTGTGAAGAGAGGCTTGCTAAGCAGATTACTTTTAGCAATAATATTGCAAGATGCATGTCCAACTTGCTATTTTGAGGGAAATGCGCATATTCCATACAACTTCTAAATATAAATCACTCATATCTACAAAATTGAGCCTAAGGCAACTTCTACTCGGAATTGTATTTCTTTAGAAGTGAGTTGAAACTGCTCTGTTTTGAGAGCAAAGAAATGACATTAAACACTCTTCAACTCAGACTTTCTAGAAATCGACAGTTTCCCTAACCAGTGAGTTGTAACTAAGACATTTCGCTGTAGAGCTCATAGTGAAGTGCAGGCCTCATGTATATTTAGGCATCGAGGACAGACGGTGCCCGGCTCCCCATCTAGGCCACAGTTCTAGGAGTTCCTAGGGGTTCTCCTAGGGGCTCTCTCTGTGGTTCCCCGGCAGCTCCCCATTGATCGGCGCCCTCCAGGGCTTGCGCTGTGACCTTGGATGGACAGGAGAGCCTCTGCCTTGCTGGCAGGGCCCTGGGACTCACTTGCAGCCCAGGAACAGCCAGTGCATCCAGAACCAGCTGACCACCAGCATGATGAGGGAGATGGGGAAGCTGAAGAGGAACCAGGTGCCAAAGTTGACCACCTCTGCGGCTGGATACTGGCTGCAGGGGAAAGAACCAGGTCAGCGATTAGAAAAGGTGGATTTCCATGAGGCATTTTGGGGGAGTCATAATGCTAAATGCTCCTTAAGAAGACAGCAGAACTAACGTAGAGATAATGATAATATGGGAAAACGTGACCGAGAACTCACTTATTGGACNGCTAAATGCTCCTTAAGAAGACAGCAGAACTAACGTAGAGATAATGATAACAATATGGGAAAACGTGACCGAGAACTCACTTATTGGATAGTTGCAACAGTATAGAGCCCAGCCAGGAATTATGATTAAGTTAAAAATGGCATCTAAGCAGCCAAATTGGTTATCACTGAAGTGTATATACTTTGCACTCAGGAGAACTGCACAGGGGCTGTTTGCTCTTGATTTACATAAAGATTCTGATAAGTTTCCTCATCTGGTTTTCAAGACGACAAATGGAGAGGGCAGTCTGGTATCCTTCTGGGGGATACAAAGGATCGNATCTGGTTTTCAAGACGACAAATGGAGAGGGCAGTCTGGTATCCTTCTGGGGGATACAAAACATCAATTCTGCAGAACTTTGGACTCCAGTGCCTCATGAAGGTTCCAGGTGTTAACTGTACTCAGTGGAGAGCCAAGACTTGGAATCTCCAAATCCTTTATTAACCCTATACGTGCTGCTGTCTGGATGCCAGGAGGTGGCCCAGGACTCCTCATTCATCATGGGGCAGAGCTGTGGCCCCCAGCTCCGATGGTGTTTCCTGGGAAGCCAGGATGGACCACATGTGAGCCACGACTTTAGCCTAGCAACGCCTGTGTTTCTTTACCCTGGGCCCTTCTTGCTGGGGCTGGGCATAGAGTTCCTCTAAGGTGGGAGCACACTGAGCCCCTCTTCATGCTAGGACTGCATGGAAAAAGAGCAGAGAGAATACAATGGAAGCCCAGGATGTAAGTGTGTAATCTCCTCTGTCATCACAGGGACGTCCACTCTTTTGCACTGTGGGCGGGCCCTGGACCTACCTTTACTAATAACTGTGTGCCTCTTGGAGAAATTATGACAGCGTGTGTCCTTCCTAAAGGCCAGAGTGGGTCACTGAGGGTGGGCATTGGGAAGAGGGCTTTTGGATCTAGAAAGATGCCTGAGGACATACGTCATTCTGTGACTCACTGCCCTGGGCTAGCAGGCATAAGTCTATTGCATCATATCTTCTCTGTATGCAGAGGCCCAGANTCACTGAGGGTGGGCATTGGGAAGAGGGCTTTTGGATCTAGAAAGATGCCTGAGGACATACGTCATTCTGTGACTCACTGCCCTGGGCTAGCAGAAGCCCAGGCCCTGCTCCTGGACCCAGGAAAGGGAATGGACTTTCACAATATTAAATAGACTCGTGGATAAATCAAAGCATTTTAAAAGGTGAGAATACATAGAATGAGTATAACAGCTAATTTGTAGGTTTTTGAAACACAGCCAAAGTGAACTCTGGGGGTGGTGTGTTCACCAATGGCAAGAAAACACAGTGGCGCTTTCGACCAGGGGGGACCCAGGGAGCCCGCCTTCCTTTCATAGATTCCCTCTTGTCCAGGTAAGCCACAGTTATGACTAAATCTACCACTTACCACCCAAGAAGTAGCCTAAGGGCATATGAATTGGCCCAATCACAAAGTGAGCCAGAAATTAAAGAGCTAAAATTCAGAGCCTGGATAGAGTAAGACGGTGTGAGGGGTCCATGAAGCTCAGATCCTGGGGACCAGGTCTTCAACTTTCATCGGTCCTTCCTCCTCCCTCCTCTGTCCATTTTCCTTCCTTCATTTCTTCCCCTTTCTCCTAAAATGAGATGTGTTTCTCCTCTTGTCCACGATGGATTGCTTCACTCTGCTCTGGATCCCGTCCCTCCTTGTTTGCCCAGTGACCTCACTGTTCATCCCCTCTCTCCCAGACCTTTCCTTTTCCTCCCCTCTGGACCTCCCCTGTCAGCACTTAAATGTTTTCCATCTTAAAAACCCCTTCCAGACCCTACTTCACTCTTCCTTTATTGTCACCCCACAGCTCTCCGCCCTTCACAGACTCACCTCCTCTTACTCCCCAACTCACTGAGACTGGGCTTCTCTTCCAACCACTGGACCAAACTGCTCTTGCCTCCGTCACCAGTAACCTCCATGTCACCAAGTCAGATGGATACAACCTTGCCCTTATTTTGCTTGATCATTTAGGCAACTTGAAAGTACGGACATTCCTTCCTCCTTGAGACACCTCCTTCCCTTGGGTAGGATGACACCAGTTCTCCTCTTTCCTGTCTGATACCGTTTTACTTTCTCTTCTGTTGTCTATTTTAAATGCTCCAGCTGAACAGTTATGTCCCTGCTCTACTCACTCTACGTGGTCTCCCTGAGAAATCGCCTTCGTGCTCACGGCTTCGATTTCCACAGGCATAGCACCAGGACCGACTACCGTCTAAATTGTGGGGCTCAGTACAAAATGCAAATGTGGGACCCCTCGTTCAAAAACTATTAGAAATTTCCAGACGGGAACAGCAGAGCATTAAGCCAAGCATGGGGCCCTTCTGAGAATGGCGGCCCTGTGGCGACACAAGTTGCACACCCATGGAGACAGCTGCCCAGGCCACGGCAAGTCTATGCCGAAACCTAACCACATCTATGCCTTTAGCCTCAAAATTCCTCCTGAGATTCAGAGCTGTGTCTCCTGGCTGGACATCTCATCCACATCACCATTTCTTCATCTTTCCCTGCATTTAGGTTGAGGACAACTCTGCTCCCCCAGCTGCTGAAGCCATGAGCCTGACAAGTAGACTTGGCCTTTCTCTCTCTCAGGCTCTTTCTAACTCTATCAAGGTCCGTCAGGTCTACCTCTGAATACCTTTCCAATCTAACCATTGTCCTCCCACTGCCACTGTCATCCAGGCCACCATCCGCTCTCTCCTGGGCATCTGCAGCAGCGTCCTGCATTGTCTTCCTGTGGCCTTTCTCCTTTCCAAGCCACTCTCCATTTTTAAAAAAAACCCAAATGAGCCTTCAACACTATAAATCTCATCACCTCACTTCAAGCCACTTCAAAGTTCTCATGGCCTTTGGAATGAAGTCCAAGTTCCTTAGAGGGCCTTGCCCGGGCCTTGCGAGGGCCTTCATGACCTGCCTGCCCACCTCCCTGGCCTCCTTTCGCCGTCTCTCATTCTAGTTTATGGGCCCTGCTCTCTTGCTGAGCTCTCCTACACTGTTTGCTTTGGCTGGAAAATCTCCCTTCATCTAGCCTACTCCAGCTTATGCTTCAGGTCTCCGACTTTCATTGTCGCCTCTTCGGGGAGGCATTGGGACTGGGCGACCTCCCCCAGCGGGGCTCTCCCAGCAGAATCCTGCCCTTCTCCAGTCACATTCGACTGTAACGACTTGGTCATCTCTCCCCTCTTGGTACAGAAACTGTTCTGGTCCCATTTTCTGCCGTGTCCTTAGTACCTCGTCACGTTCCTGACACATGGGTGGCTGGCAGATGTTCGTTGCCCAAGTGCATCGCTTACTTGTTGAAGTGTTCCAAGAAAATGAGGCTGGTGGAGGTGCCAATGATGGTGGTCAGGCCCCCAATGGTAGCGGCGTAAGATATGCTCAGAGACAGGCACTTGCAGATCATTTGGTCGTGTTGGGACTTGTACTTCCTGTTGGGCTCCTGGTTCCTCGGGCTGGGCGTCAGACCTGGTGGCTTTTCCTACAAGGGAAAATCAGTGAATCTCTCCAACCCAGCTCGGGCTGCCTGGCGCATAAAGCATGAAAAACAGGGGCACCAAGGTGCAGTGGACAGGGCTTTGAACTGGGGTGTCAGAGAGACAAATCCCAATGTCAGTCCTACCATTTCCCAACCCAGCGGCCCCTCTGAATTGCACTTTCTTCGGTAAAATGGGGAAAATCCTGTTTTCTCTGTTAGATTGTTGTGGCGAGTAGATGCAGTAATATATAGAAAGCACTTAGCATACTTCCTGGCACTGAATAGATTATAAGCTATTATTATTTTGAACTCCAATAAAACTGGTCGCTCTCCACTTTGTGTCTGAATAACAAATGGAAGAGAGTTGACCTGTGTGGAGTTAGAATGACAGCCCTGATTGGGAGATGACAGATTGGGCAGAGGATCGAAGGGTGTGACTCTCCTTTTCTTCCGCTCATTTCTCCTTCCTGCCTACTGGGTTTTCATCCCCACGTTCCCCTCCTCCTTGCATGTAAGCCTCAGCCTTGCTGTGGTCCTCTTAGGCCCCGCTTGGTCCAGATGATGGCTGTTCAGGGTCAGAGGTTGCTGGACCTCTGGTCTCCAGTGTGAACTACAGAAGTGTCCCCATCGCCCTCCAGGCCCGGCTACCCCTCATGAGTCTTCATGAGACTAGCAACGGCCTAGTGCAAAAGTCAGGCCAGGTCATAGGACAACCATGGGGAAGAGGCCACCTTGCCACATTTCTCAAAGCCCTTAACTACTTCCCTGTCTTCCTAGGAGGGCCCAGGTAGGTCTGGACCTTTCCAAACCTTCCTGAAAGATTCATGGATTGTCAGAGCTGGAAGAGACCTCCTAGATTCTCTAATCCAGTGGTTTGCCAGGATCGTTCTAAGGAAATTTTATGTATATGGACCTCCAAAATATAAAATGTAAATGTAGCATTTAATTCGCATACATCTATTTTATAACCAAGTATGTACACATGCGGTCAGGGAAACCTGGATTTGAATCAAGGTACTCCCCTCATTAGTTAGAGGACTGGGGTACATGATTTCCTCTCTCTGCTTCATTTCAAAATGGGGGTTCGAAATTCCTCCCTCGTTGAGCCAAGACAAGAGAAAAAATGCTTAGCATAATAAGTGTTTAATAAATGGTGGCATTTATTTATGATGGTGATGGATGTTAAGTTAATTGAGATCATTTTGATGACATACAAATTTGAATCAAGGGTTAGAAGTGGCAGTTGCAATTTTATACCAGCGTCAACATTTACTTTACTTCTGCATTTTGTTTCAGTGGTATAGTACCAGGAAAACCCTATTCTCACAAAAAAACAGTTGCCTTAAAATCTCTGGATGTTCAAATAAAGTATTTGCAATGTCCCTCAAGCACCTTTGAGGAATAGTTTGGACACCTGATCTGGATCAATCCTCAACTTTTATACTTGAAGAAACAGGGACTCAGACAGTACAGTGACTTGCCCAGCCACCAGTGAGTTAGATATGTTATCTCCATGGCACACACAGGCCACACAGGGATGTGGTGACAGCTCACTAGCTTGATGCCCTCACATCTTCAAGACCTGTGGCCCTTTCAGAAGGTCAAGGCATTTCATGAGGCAACAGGGTCAGGAGGTGCAATTTAATTACCTGGGATGGGTGCTGCTTGTCTTGGTGGTTTGCTGTTTTAATGGGGTTGGTGATTGTGGGAGCACCATTCAGGTTCTGTTGGGACAAAAACCATTACACTATCAGGAAGGGGGTGCCATGGGCCTCGAGAAGCACCACTCATCTTCCCAGGGGCACCCACACCTCGGCACTATGGAGACTGGAGACTGGAGGCCAGGGAGAGCATGCAGTGGAAAGCCACCCCAACCATGCCTGCCTCCATCCCAGGTTTCGTCCAGCCGGGCATCCAGCACCCCATTTGAAGAGGCTTTTGAAATTTGACAGAATATGGCTCTGTATTTATTTATTTGATTTCAGAGAGAGAGGAGGGGAGAGGGAGAGAGAGAAATATCAACCATGAGAGTCATTGATCCGCTGCCTCTTGCACACCCCCTACTGGGGATTGAGTCCTAAACCCAGGTATGTGGCCTGATGGGGACTCGAACTGTGACCTCCTGGTTCATGGGTTGACACTCAACCACTGGGCCACACTGGCCGGGCTGGCTCTGTCTTTATAGGAGAGCTTGGCTTTCGGAAACTTCATTAGCTAATGAAGAATCCTTCATTTTTCTTTAACACAAAATGAAAAAAAAAATTGTACCACAACAAAGCCTACAGTTTAGACAGATCAAAGTTCGTCCATTTGGACTGATGTAAGAAGAGATGTAAAACCAGCTTTGGGGGAGCAGATGAGGCTGAGCAACAGTGCACAGGTAACTTTGTTTTTCCTATAAATGTGCCCCTTTCTGTAATAAGATTTTTGTAAATGGAATCACCCCTGAAAGAAATCCTAGGGATGAACCTGTGGCTCTTGAAAGCCTGGATGGGTTTCCATGAAACAAGGTGAATGTGTACTATATACATGGCTAAACCCAGCACTAGGGCTGGGGTTTGGAACCGGGCAGGCCCTTGCTGGTAGCCTGTCCAGGCTCAGGGAGCACCTCTCTGTTCTCATATCCGTGGAGGCCACGGGGCTCTAGGACAAGCTGTCAGGCATCTCCGTCCCTGAGTTATCTTCAGGGACTTTAAAGTATCTCAAAGCACAGGGGCAAAAACCCAAAAACCCAAAGCCATACCTTGTTCTGCATCAGAGAAATGAAGTCGGTAGTCGAGGTGCTGGAACAAAGTGAGGGAAGTGGGAAGATCAGTGGACCAGGCTTCACGCGATGGAATTCTCCCCTCACATCCTGATTGGTATGGGTGAACCCTCTAGACTTTGCTTTTCTAGGCTACAAAGAAGCCTAGTCTCGTCCTAGTCTTCCTTACCTTCCAGAGATGCTGTCACATTGGGGGCAGGGCATTTTCTTAGACGTGAAACTGACACTCCTAGTAATAGCTACCATGGAATACTGGGTAGGTGCTGAGTACTCAGAGACAGACCCTAACCCTCACGACATTGTTGATCCTCGCATTACTACCTGCATTTACAGAGCAGCAGATAGGCAGAGAGAGTCACGAACTTCCTGAGGGCAGCAGGTGCTAAGGTGCTGCGGGGCCTGACTGGAGAGCCTGGGCTCCGACCACCTGCTTCTCGCTGCCTGACTCTGGAGGTCACTATCTAGAAAGAGAAACCTGGAAGGCTTATCTGTGATGACAGGAACAGGGAGGCCCGCACTGCACATGGTGAAAGGCACGTGAGAGCCAGGAGATGGGGGAGAGTTTCTGATGGCACCTGCACCTCTGGGGGTGTGAGTAGAGGGGAAGGTGAGAATGAAACTGTCAGCATTACCGATTTACACTCAGTACTAAATGGACATTTCTGGTTTGTCTTGGTTCTGAGAGCAGTGGGTGCTGTGACTTCACCCACTGTGAAGACAATTGAGAGGTGCTGAGCCCACGTGCAGGACTTGGGGTCCTGTGGTCATCACTCATCTCCAGACTATTTTGGGGAGGGATAAGGGGTCTGTGGGGGTTTGGAGGGGAGCGTTCTTTGGAGAGAGGCGTTAGCCTGCCAGGAGTGTGGTGAGGGTTCCTCTCCTTCCTTCCCAAATTGGGTAACAAAGGCGGTGAAGGGACCCCTCAGATGGCATGGGAGGTGCTGGCCCGAGAGAAGCATCCTTACCCCAGAGTTTTATGGACAATATGAGCTTGAACAAAGGCAGGAGGCTGGTGGGTGCTGCCTGAGAGGCCAGAGTGAGAACCACCCCAGCCTGTGCTTTCACTGCTCAAAGGTCTTGGGCGGGGGGCACACACGGAAGGTAGCTGGGCTGCAACCATCTTAAAAAGGCAGAGGTCACCCCAGAACAAAGGGACTGTGGGGAGTGAGCCACCAGAACACAGAACAGGGGAGCATGAGTGGGTGTCCAGAGCCCTCCCTGCTGTCAGCCCAGGGCTATGCAGAGGTGGCCCCAGGGGACACTCCTAGGACACCTCCAGCCCAGACCACTTTGCCGCCTTTTCTCCCCTGCACTCTGGAGAGGTCAGAGCAGCAGAGTGAGTTGGGGGAGGAGAGAGGAGAAGAGAGGTTGGATGGAGAGAGAGAGGAGAGTCAACTCTCTCCCTAGCTCGCTCTGATTTCTTGTTCTGCAAACCTGGGCTGAAGGAGGCGAGAGGAGAGGTGGGGAGAAGCCCTGGCTGACAGGTGGGGGTTTTCAGATGGGCCTGGACCAGACTGCTGAACATGTGGAAATGGGGTGGTTCTACTATCTGGTGGAAGCCAGAGAGCTGTGGGATTTGCCTGAGACATCAAGGCTCAGGGCAGGAGACCCCAACATGCCCTGATGGGGAGTCTACCCCATTCCATATGCTGGTTTCGCTCCATATGCAGTTTTCCATTTTTTATGAAAAGAGCACATTGCCAACCTGAGCTCTAGTACGAATCTGACTTTTAAAGTGTGGTACTCATCACGGAATACTCTGAAGGCCACATTTTGATATCGAGTCTCCAAAAGAACTCAGCCATTAATGGTCCTTTGAGACTATGCTTTTCTAGTTCCTTCTTTTCATCATCGTAGGGCTCTTACCACTGCCCTCTAATCCCCTACCCGCCACCTAGTTTTCTTTGCGGCATCTAACAGGCCAAACCTAGTAAGACCCCATCTATAAAACTTTGTGATTCTCTAAGAATCTCCAGTGGCATCCATTGTGCGAGTCTTTTTTCATTAGTAGATTTTTTCATTAGTAGGTTAAGGGTGTGCCCTTCAAGGTCTTGGCAAGTGGCTCCCAGGTATGGAGAGGAAATCTGGGCAGCGGGAGGTGGTGGCGTAAGATGTGTGTGTGGCCCGTACGTCCAAAAGAGCTGTTTACAGGCTCAGGTCCGGTTCTCCCCACCTCGAATGGACCTGGAGAGNTACATCTAAAAGAGCTGTTTAGAGGCTCAGGTCCAGCTTTCCCCACCTTGAATGGACCTGGAGAAGCTCTGCCTGGGAGGAGGGCAGTCATACTCACCCTTCATTGACAAAAATGAGCTCCAGAGAGGGTTGGCTATTGTTTATATCAAGACCTAGGGCTGCAAAGGAAAGCAGAAGTGAGATGTGGAGGCTGGAGCTGCCCCCAGAGGGCAGGCCCCAGGGGCTCAGNTGGAGCTGCCCCCAGAGGGCAGGCCCCAAGGGCTCAGGGGCTCAGGGGCTCAGGGCCAGGTGGGGAAATAGGGCATAAAGGCTTTTCCTGGGGCATGGTGCATGAGTCCCCTCTCCTCCCCTCTGAGGCGTGGTGGGACTTGTGGCTTGTCCTGACCCTTGAGCGTTTGGGGGAAAGGAGCAGTGGCTCCTGTCAGTGGGAGAAGAAGGAAGATCTGGCAATGGGGGGGGTCCTCAGGAAAGCTTCAGGCTACAAGGGCTGGTGTGGGAAGCAGGGGAGGGAAGGGGAAGCAGCAGATGAGGGCTGGGAGGTAGCACGGGAGGAAGGCAGAGGGGCAAAGGGCAGGTGGACTCCGGGAAACTGTACTGGTGGGCTCGGCCTCTTCGGTGCTGGAGCCGCTGGCCACGAGCTGCTCCTCGTCGGCGCTGACCAGCTCCTGCAGCACGGCCTCCACGATGGGCATCACCATGGCGGTGGTGGACGTGTTGGAGAGCCACATGGACAGCAGCGTGGTGCAGCTCATGAAGCACAGCAGCAGCCTGCAGGGAGGGAGAGCATCGCCCGGGGCCCCAGATGCCCGTCTCACAGGGCTCCTGGGGGGCCCCAATCCACCTGCTGGCGCTGGCCTAGAGAACCATGGCTGGATTTATCCAGAAAATTGTTTTTTTATGTCTTTCATTGGCTTTGTACTCCCAGGGCTTGGCACAGAGTAAACAGTAAATAAACACTTGTTGAATGAATGAAGCACACTTCCTGGGCTGGTGGCCTCGGCCAGCAAACAGCCCTTACTTAAGCAAAGAATAGCGTTGGTAGTGGGGTCAGAGGGCACGGACTTACTGATTGCTCCTCTCTCCGTGGATATTAGCTTGGGGATGATGTATGATTTTTGTGTAGAAAGAATTCTGTTTTTGCCCTTGCAGCTAGCAGCTCTATGAGCACCACGGCATTCCTTGCTCCGCAGCCAAGTCACCATAGTTATTAGTGACCAAAACATGAACCTTACTGTTCTGCCTGTTCCTGTCCCACTGTCAACCTGCTGAGTCACAGAAGTGTCCATATCACTGTGTGCGCTTTCCCAGCTTGTATCTTAAAGAGTCAATGCTTGGAGGAAAACGCAAGACAGATCTCCAGTTATTTCTCTTTGGCTTTGAAAACACGCAGTTGTGTTTGAGCAGACGCAGTTCTCATTTCCATAAGATGAGCCAACGTAAAGACGACCGTGTTTATTACTTTGGGTGGAGCCATTGACTTTGCACACCCAGGGCCCGCACATCTCTCACGTGGCTCGCGACTGGGTCCTGATGGTGTTTTTGTTTAGGCGGCCAGCTACGTGATTTGCCTGCCCTGGATGTGCAAGCAGAGAGCACCACAGGGGGTGGAAACTGTGGGGATTGAGGTAAATAGAGACCAGTGGAAACTGGATGGGATATAAATTCCTGAAGATAGTACACGGAGGTTTTAAAAGGCCTCAGAGTCCCAAGATGATGGGAGGAAATGCCACAGTGGGCCCAAGAGGCTGCGTGATTGTTACTGGCGAGGGGGCGAGTTAAGCTGCAGTTAAGCGGGCGACAGGAACACCCTTATATGCAAAACCTGCATTCACCTAATGACTAATGTTGAAAACGAATCCCATATTATCTGTTTAGACCCCAAAGGGGTTGTCTGACTCCCAAAGGAGTCAGGGCGGGTTACATAAAATGTAGCCAGAAAGCTGTGCCCTAGGAGGAGGTAGAAGCTTCTCCTAAGGCAAGACAGGGGCAGGGGGGAGGTTAACCCCAGACTGTCAACCCTGACTTTCCCGCGCATTCCCCAAGGCCGCGAATCTCTCCCCAACTTCTTGAAGCAGCGAGGAAAGAGGAAGACGCCGAGGGCATGCGGTGTGCGGCAGGTGTGGGTCAAATGCGACAGGGCAACCTGCCTGTGGTCTGGTCAATGACAACAAAAGATCAGGGCGGATGGGAGCAAGCCGTCACATCTCCTTAAATGGCGGAGAAGCCGCCACATACATCAGAAAAAAGTTGGGCCCCGCCTAACGAGCCCCTGCCCTTGCAGTGTGGGTCACTCCCATAAGTTACTTAGACTGTGACAGTAGGTGACACCAGAGCCACACACTCAAATCTCCGTGGTTACAGGCCCTGCGGTTGCACTGGGAGGTGGGAGCCCCATGGCCCTGCTGTGTCATCCCAGCCCCACCTTTAGGTACACAACCTGCAGTGGACATGCCCCGGTGGCCCACTGCTGGCTGGACACCCCAAGTGCCACTCACATGCCCGGCTTGGCTCCGGCCATCATGACCATGCGCAGAGCAATGCGCTTGTGCAGGTTCCACTTCTCCACGGCGGCTGCCACGCAGATGACGCCCACCAGCAGCAGCGTGGTGTTCTTGAAGTACTCCGCTGCCACCTGCAGGGGGCGAGCGAGGTCACCCCAATCCTGTCCAGGCCCCCCC